ATATATATATATATATATATATATATATATATATATATATATATGTATATATATATATACACATATGTATATTTTTTTTATATATGTAATTATATACATTTTATATATATATATATATATATATATATATATATATTATATATATAATTTTACATATATATATAAAATTAAAAATTTTTTTTAGTAATACGAATTCTTTTAAAAAATTTTCAGGACGACAATTACTTGTGGAAAGTGTTGCTGATTAAGTCCCGCAAAGGTCTGTTGGTGTTGCACCCTATTTTGTTCTTCTCGTTCTCTCTGTTGTTGTTGTTGCTGCTGCTGCTGTTGTTGTTGCTGCTGTTGCTGCTGCTGGAATATCCTCTGCTGTTGTATCTGCATCTCGTTCTCCATAAGTTCGGCTAATGCCTTCTGCGTCTCGTGGAAAGGATCGAAGCCTAGATCATCGTCCGCTTTCACATCTGAACCCGTATCACGATGATTCCGAACCTCCTCTAACGTGGCGTGTCCATTTTGCTTTATGTATTCGCAATTCTCTTGATTTTGTTGCGCCTTAGGAACGTTATACATACAATATATTAGCGAGATGAGAAAAAAGGTATAGAGTTCTTAGTGAAAGAATGAATGCTCAAAGCCGCTTCTTGTGTTCAATACGTTAAACGCATTTTGCAAAATTCGATAATATCCTTCTTACTCCGCTCACCTGCATATTAAGCCTTTGCTGTAGCGAATTTTGTTGAAAGTCTGCCATGAATTTAGACGCGGGTGAATTTGCGAGCAAATTAGTGAAGGTACCAGACGGTTCTGTGAGCGTGGCGGTATACGGTGCAGGTATGTAAACTTCCTCATCTACAAAACCTTCAGAATTGAACGTTACTCTGGGTGAATCAGAGGGGCTGGATTTCGGCAAAATATGGTTGGCTCGGGTAGATTCGGTCTGGAAACCGAAAGCCGCTTGCCAATCTTCACTGGAATGGACTGACGGCAACGAGTCTGGTATCGCAGCCACTCCCGTGCTCGTCCAATCCAGATGCGCGTTCGCTATATATCGAATTATAATTTATCATTCTTTCACGCATATATATCTTAAATTTTGTAAGCGTCAGACGCCCAAAATTAGAGAGCCCTCTCTCTCTCTTTCTAGATTGATCCTACAAAAGTTCTGGATGAACAACTCGTTGGCGATCCTCTCGTTTAAAGTAAAACAACGTAAGTACAGTTGAACGTGACAGAAGGTGTTAACATAGCGACGGTATCTGTGCAGAAAAAAAATGTAGAAGAGCTTGTACATGCCTGCGAGGGAGTTGGGTGGCATTGAGCTGGTGGTAGAGATTTTCTGAAAGCTATTCGAACTGAAGAAACTGTTATTGTCCGCCTGAAAGATCGATCGGTGGTTGTGTTGCATTTGAGATCCATTGTGTAGTCCTGGTGGTGGCTGCTGATTGGCACCTTGTGACGAATTTGTGCTAGCTGGAGACGAACCTAAAGACGACACGCAAAAATCTCTACACTACACGACGTGGCAGAGTTGTTGTCACCACTACTCTTATAATGCCAGAATAAACAGTTATTTGAGCTACTTCTTTCGACAAATATGTATGCTACTAGTACTCGCACACGTTGCAATCACATAAATCGAACAGTCTACACACGATCTATACACTTTAATAGAGTAACAGAAATGTCCGATTAAAAGCATCGAGCACAGAATATAACACGATCGCGCGAACAATTTCGAAGAACATCATGTATACCGATCGTTAAAGTTATCGAACAATTCATACGTGTGTCCATGCCAGCACTTGCTTCATCGTAATCTGTATAAGAAGGAGTAAAGTTAAGTGTGTACACAAAAACACAAAAAACGGCTATTACTGTTTTATTTTCAAGTATTCTCTTTATTTTGGCATATATATATATATATGTATATATCGCTATATCAATCGATCGCTATTTCTACAGTATAGAAATATAGTAATAAAACACTTTAGCTCATTGGCATACTATGTACATCATTTGGATTTGTTCGTTATTAAGTGTTGCATTTAAACTACGTGACATTCATCCAACACAAAGAGAGTAGATACACTTTCTTTCTATTGCTTGTAACGCGTCGTACAAACATTGTAACTGACATTTTGCCATATCACAATTGTTCAATTTCAGTTGTCAGATATATTAGTATAATGAACACGATCTCTGTTCTGGTTTTCATTAACTTTTCATAAATTAAATTAAATTAATAAAGCTATGTTATTATTTTAATTTAATTATTCAAGAAACTTAATTTATCCAATTTTTTTATCCAATTTAATTGAAGTAATCAATTAATTCAGATGAAAGTTAATTTGGATCGAAAAGTACAGAAGTAACTTGTAAATGCCGTTTACATCGTCTTTGCCTTAACGGATTTATCATTCTCGCATTGAGTAAAGTGACATTCCTTAGAACAAAGTAAACGAGAAAGAAGAAAAATGATTGTAGAAACACATTAATGGAAGTGTTAGTCAAGAGTATAAACGTAATATACGTGAATATATATATATATATATATATATATATATATATATATATATATATATATATATATATATATATATAC